GGATTTGTAAGAAATGTTTGCGGAACTGACTCAGTGTTTAACACTCAGACTGACTCAGTCACTTCCCTCCAAACATTTCTTACAAATCCTTCCCACGCAAAATTCCCACTGTGATTACAGAATCTTCGACAATGTGAGCCAGTCATGATAAAGTGCTTATAATACCGTAAATTTTTTTGTTATATGCAATTGTATTACGAATTATATGTTTTTCAAAATCTCTCCACACCATCAGAGTTTTCATAACCGTGTTTCCAAATTTCCCGCCGCACTGCTTTTGATTCTGGTTTTTATGTGTCCGACACTTGACGTCGAACATACTCTTCAGAGTGTATGACGTGGGGAGATTTCAAGTGACTCAAAAACATAAGAGGGTTTTCTTCTCCATTGGCATCAGTCGCTCACCACCCACGCGGAACCATGCAAACTCACATGTCTCAAAAATATTGAACTTACTTTCACACTATTGACGTACTTGCCAAACGTAGTGACACCCACAACATAGCGCGTTATTTTATTGAGAACTCAAGATCTTAGCCTTTCCAAAGCTACAAAGATATCTAATTCAGAAATTAATCAATGGTTTACTGACCCCTTTACTTTTGGCAGTTTTCCATTCACGGGAAGACAATAGATGGGTACATCAACAAGTTGTGTTCGCACTGCTTGTCCCAAGTTGTCAACAAGTTTGGAACAAGCTGTTAACAGTTGTAACAAGCTTGTTGATATTATCAGACTTGTTGCAAGGTTGTTCCAACAAGTCCGATACAGTTATGATATAACAATATTGTTACAGCGTTGTGTCGTCAACCTTGTAACATTCTTGTTATATCATCACCGTATCAGACTTGTTAGAACAACCTTGTAACAAGTCTGATAATGCCATCAAGCTTGTTACAACTTGTTAACAGCTTGTAACAAGCTGTTTAATGTTATCAGACTTGTTGCAAGGTTGTTCCAACAAGTCCGATACAGTCGTGATATAACAATATTGTTACAGCCTTGTTTCGTCAAACTTGTAACATTCTTGTTACATGATGACTGTGTCAGATTTGTTAGAACAACCTTGTAACAAGTCTGATATAAATGCCATCAAACTCGTTACAAGTTGTTAAAACTTGTTCTAAACTTGTTACAACAACTGGGAGTCTGGGAACAAGCAGTGCGAACACAACTTGTCGACAGCTTGTGAACAGATTTGTAACAACTTGTTTGCAGACGTGTAGCAAACAAGTTGTAACAAACCTGCAGCAGACTTGTAGCAATGCTGTTCCAAAACTGGTCAACAGGACGTGTTCGCACTGCTTGTTCCCAGCTTGTTGACAAGTTGAGTTCAACAGACTTGTTATAAGTTGTTCCAACAACTTGTTATCGTCCTGCAATTCAACAATTTGTCAACAAGTTGTGAGTGTCAACCTTGTGGCAACTTTATAAAATAACAGCATTGGTACGACTTGTTGACAAGCTTGCTACAAGCCTATTGCGAACACATCTTGTTGACAAGTTTTACGTGTGTAATCTTGTATTTGGTGGAAAATAAATAAATTTGAGAGATATAATTTAATTTTCTTGTTCCTATGCAAAGTTTCAACGGTTGTGAAGTGATCATGGGCCATGGACCATGCAACCACTACGATAAAACATCCCGGGTAAAAGTACCCGTGTGAGGCGAGGCTACCAAGTTTCAAAACAATGCATGACGCAAGAGACCAAAACAAAAAATATTTTTTTCAAGATGATAGACGAAGATGGGTGGTATTATCAATGAAAAATACTCGTTTGAAGGGCATCTTTTGGCTAGAAAGGACCCTTCAGTAGTTTGTTACAGATTTAGTTATCTTTCGACATGTCTAGCGAACAAACTCGGCGAAATACTCGTGGAGTTTCAACTATAACAGTTCGCCCTCAGCCTGTGAGGTAAAAGCATAAAACGCTCATCCATCGTCAAATAATGGCTTTTTCCTGTTATTCAAACATCCACAATGAAAGAGGGTATCATTTATAGTTTCTAAAGTATATATGAGGTGTTTTTATAATACTTTTCTCTTCATTTTTAGTGACAAGTCCTATGTAGAAAGTGTCGTTGATTTTCTTCATGAAGTTGTACCACAGGTGTGAATATTTTGTTGGTTTTTGAGGTCACGGCAATCAATGCATATTTACATAGGACTGGAAAGCTAAATCACTGGACATTGTTATGTCTATAAATTAATTTTCAGTTTAAAATTTCTACTTTATTGAACTTTGCTGCACAATATATAAAGAAAATATAAAGCATATATTATTGATATAATTGGCAACTAAAGGTTGACTAAATATATTGTATACTGTACATAACCATTTTATTCATGTTTTGTACTATGTATGTAATGAGCAATTGTTTGATACATGACACGTCTTGTTAACCTGTCGGGGTTAATGGTTAAAACCTATTGGTGGTGCACAATCAGTCATCTATAGGTACTGCTTGTGACCAAAGGATTATTGCCCCTCCCCTAAAAGCAAGGAAAATAACCTTTCCAATTTATTTTGATTGTCCTCAGGCAGTCGCTGGTAACCACAAAGCAGAAGAATATGATCACATTATTTGGGTCAAGTTGGAAAAACTTGATATAGGTAATAAATTATTTTATTTGATTTTGATAGTCTAAATGAAATAACAATGTATTAAGCCTCATTAATTAAGCACATTGCAGCTTATTGGGTTAATTAACGAGGGACAGATTGTCTGTTTAATCAATTACATCCACAGTCTCCACTTGATGGGTAAAATTATTAAATTACATTAGACAGAATAAAATAATAAATATATTGCTGCTTAATGAGTTGATTTATCATACCTCTATATTTTATTTTTCAGATATTGGGACAAGTCAAAATGAACCGAGCAGTTTGCTGTTTCTCGTTCTTGGCTACAGCAATGGCTATCAAATTTGGCATGTCAAGGTAGAATAGCCATTAAATTCTACATTAATTTTATAGCATGGTCATATTCTCTTCAAACATGATGTACCAAAATTCTAAACTGCAGCTGTGGAAATTAGGGAGCCGTAGAGCAATGTTACTTCCCTAGCCTTGTGGGATAACTCCACATTCAAAATGCATGCTTTAAAATGTAGTTGGATTAAAAATTCTGGGGTTACAAGCACCCATCTTGGTTTAGGCCGGCGAACGACGAATTTTGCCACCGCTAAGAAGACATTTGACAGCCATTCGCCAGAGGCTGTGTGTAATTCGCCGGTACTTGCAGACATGACAAGCTGAAATTTTTGGCCCGGTCTTGCACTCGGACAATACACCAAATAGACAAAGCTTGCAAGCCTTTGCCCACCACTCAACTCACAGCGCCCTTGAAGCTTCGACCTTCCATTCTTTGCATAGTTGCGTCGCTCATCAGTTAATAGCCAGAGCCTCAGTAGAGCAAAACAGTATTGGCCATAACCAAATTATTATTAGCCAGGACTTCAAACGGATACCTGAAGGACTGGTTACAAGCCAACTAAAAAAACTTGTTATTGTAGTTGAATGGTGAGGCAGAAGAAGTGGTTTCAGTACGCCAGGGTCCTGTGAAAGTCGTCAGAGTCTTGCAAACACCTCTTCATGGTATGTGAAAAAATTCTTGACTGGAAAATGCATTAACCTCATTATATTTATGCAATTGGCATAATTTTAAAAAAATAATTCATTTTCCCACTTTAAGGTGACCATGAGTGTGATGTCTTTCATGATAAGAGGCCATTAGTGAGTGTCTGTGATGCTGCCAGGTAAAACAATTCTGAAGATTGCCTTGCCCTTCTAAGGGTCTTTGCGCTAGCGACTGCATGGTACTATGACCAGAAAATATTAGGGCATGTCAGTCAGTGATTATATCTGAGTGCTGTACCACTTGGGCATCCGGGGGCATGTCCCATTATATTGGAAATCCCATTCCATCCATTTGGAGATGCAAATCTTGGGAGGGGGGGTTAATGATGAGATAGAGTGCATGCCTAGTTTGGGCATGCTACCCTAGTGTGGTGCATCTCAGCCCATGATCCAATACAGAATTCATCCATGCAGAGAGACTTAAGTTTCAAATTTATATCATGATTATATAACCTGAAATTGCTTCCCATGTCATTTGAATTTGATGTAGCTCTCCTTGTCCATATTCCACCATCAAATTCTGGTCTCTGAGTACTGGAGATGAAGTGAAAGCAATTGATTTCAAAACAGAAGTCTATGGCATTCAATCAAACAAAAGGTAATACAAATTGCATTTCCTTGTGTCAGATTTTTAATTGGTTGTATACTTACAAAAGACTAATAATATAGTTATATACTGAGTTATATCTACCAAGTTGCATTTTATCACATTTAGAGTTGTTGTAGTCTGTCTGCAAGAAAAGATAGCTGTCTTAGATGCATTTACTTTGTCCAAAAGGTTTGGCATTACAAGTAAGTTTGACTCAGTTAAATACTGAAGATTATGTTTAATTATTTTAATAATGATAATAATTATGTTACTCTCCAAGTGTGCACCCTGGGAAATAGTTCTTTGTACCAATTGCAAAATATTAATTTTGCATACTGGGTAAATTCTAAGTTTTGAGGTGTTAAACACTGAGTCAGTTTCCTAAAAAAATTCTTACAAATCCTTCAGAACTTACCTATGCAAAATTTCTACTGTGATCACAGAAACTTTGATATAGTGTAACGCAGGTTTTACATCATTAATGACCATATGAATTCTGTGCATCTGTGTTTCCAGATTGTTTCCCAGCTCCTGAACCAAATGTAAATCCTGTATCTCTCAGTTCACGCTGGCTAGCATTTGCTGACCGCAAGGTAAGGTGCAGAGGTTGCTTAAACAGTTAGATACAAATTTGGCTATTCTGTACCATAGGTATTGTTAGTCACGCTGAATTACAACTGCTAAATTTTTCACCAGAAATTGTAATTGTTGTTTGTGTTACAATTTAGTTGTTACCAATCCACCAATCAAGAGGCGGTGTTTCAGCTGATAAACTACATTCTTATACATCTGCTGTTTTTAATGCTGCAAAAGTGAGTTGAACGATGCTGCGACACGATTCGGCCTGAACGCCATAATTGAAATTTTATTTTACTTATTTTTAACAATCTTTCATTCGTATTTTTTCTCATAATATTCTTATTCGTATTTTTTCTCATAATAGACACTTTCGAAAGGATTGTCAATTGTTGGTAAGTATCACGATATACCTACTGGTTCCGTAATGTGTTCCATTTTATACAACGGTTTCTTGAAATTTATATTTCAACAGGAGAAACAGTTGGTCGTTGGGCTGGCTCTAACGCGTCTGAAAACCAAGTAGAACAAGCTGCTTCCAATACAGTAAGTGCTGGACAAGAGAAAAATGTGCAAACATTGTTTCTAATAATTGTGTAATTGGAACATTTAAGAAAGAACTTTTATTATATAGACTACGCACAAGTCTACCGCGCCTGGAGTCGTGACGATCATCGATATTGAAGGTCGTGATGAAAACGAGGCAAGTTTGGCTTCATTAAAACTACTGAGAAGCTGTCAAAATTCATGGCCAACGGCGACAATTTCAGAAAATATAAAAAGAAGCACTGAAATTTCAAAGAATAATGCCTGAACTTGAAATTCAAGATTTTGAAACAAGACGAGCTTTTTTAATTGGACATTTTAGACTTTATTTCAAAGTCATCATCAGTCAGAATGAAGTAGCCTATAATTCTACTTAAAGCATATATACTGTAGAATAGTTATTTGGTCTAAGTCTTTACCAGGTTTGTAACGTATTTTATTGAATGTGTTTAATTTAGAAGGATGATCAACTACGAGAAAGAGCCATAGCACATTTTCCCGCTCATACAGGACAGCCCATTGCTGCCTTGGCTTTTGACTCAAGGTAAACCCTCGTACAACCGTAAACTTAATAATGTCAATGTTTTGGCACGTGTCAGAACTAAGTGTTATAGGGTGGAAGATTGTGGTCAACTTCGGAACATGGCTGTCACAGAGTCAACTAGGGAGCCATGGAGTGATGCCAATACCTCCATACTTTAAAGAGGCTAACTCTAAATTCAAAATGGGTACTTGAAAACTTAGCCGAATTAATATAAGAATATGTTTGCGATGTTACTCTGAGTGCATATCCACAACGGGCGAGCTTGAAAAATATGCTCGGCCACGGTGGGATTCGAACCTACGAAAAAAGAAAAAAAAATAAAAAAAAAAATAATAATATAAGAATGTTGAAGTTACAGGCCCACTCCAAAAATCATGTGAAGGCACTGGAGCTTGATCTTTCTATTGCATTTAAGACTACTGTCTGCTTCATAGAAATGTTGACACATCTTTCTATTGCAATCAAGACTACTGTCTGCTTTATAGAAATGTTGACACATCTTTCTATTGCAATCAAGACTACTGTCTGCTTCATAGAAATGTTGACACATCTTTCTATTGCAGTCAAGACTACTGTCTGCTTCATAGAAATGTTGACACATCTTTCTATTGCAATCAAGACTACTGTCTGCTTTATAGAAATGTTGACACATCTTTCTATTGCAATCAAGACTACTGTCTGCTTCATAGAAATGTTGACACATCTTTCTATTGCAATCAAGACTACTGTCTGCTTCATAGAAATGTTGACACATCTTTCTATTGCAATCAAGACTACTGTCTGCTTCATAGAAATGTTGACACATCTTTCTATTGCAATCAAGACTACTGTCTGCTTCATAGAAATGTTGACACATCTTTCTATTGCAATCAAGACTACTGTCTGCTTCATAGAAATGTTGACACATCTTTCTATTGCAATCAAGACTACTGTCTGCTTTATAGAAATGTTGACACATCTTTCTATT